ATACTGTTGTTTGTTATTTTTTTACTTACTATTCCCCCCCCCCTTTCTTTCATATGTCTATAATTTTTCTTTGTTTTATTCTTCATTTTGAACTTATATATTTATATATATGTGTGTGTGTGTTTCGTTCAGCGTAATATTATCATTAGAGGATCAAGTTAGTTGGAATGTAAAATGTATTCGAACCACTAACAGCACAAAATACAAAATTTGTTACTGTGAGACATTAAATTTCTTCAGGAGTGTTAATGTTCTCATCCAGGGATGTTTAATATCTTAAGCTTAAACATTCTCAATAAAGTTTAAGAAGACGCAATACCATGGGGGAAACTTTTCGTTGTAAATTTTGTACCTTCATTACTAATTTAAAATTCAAAAGAAAGAAAAGTTCAAACAAACCTAGAGTGTGCAATGAAATATCAATTTCTGAAGGGAAAAAAATCGAAATATTAAAATGCAAACAAATTATTGAAAGAGAACTTCTACATTGCGTAATCCTAAGTTATATTCTCATAATTTATTTTCATTTTGATATTTTAAAAAGTTCTTTACGGTATTTGAAACTTCATGGCTTACTCTAGGTTTGTCTTAACTCACTTTTTTACTCTTTAAATTAGTTATGGAGATGAAAGAGAATTCGCGACGAAAAGTTTCTCACTTGGTATAGCATCCTTTTAAGGATATGCCAATAAGTAATTTGTTTGAAGTATTTTGCGTAGTTTAAGCTATGAAAGTTGCTGCACATTTAGAGTATACTATTAACAAAAAAACAAAAAAAATTCCTCCGCTTAAGTTAAAGTTCTCCATTTTATAAATTACTTCGAAGTCAGTGTGATTCGAGTGTCCTATTGTATAAAGTTTTCTAGAATACGATTGACAGATTAACAAATCATAATCACTACCATCATATATTACTCTTTCTGAAGTAAATGCTGATAAGTAAGTTCTCAAGAAACTAAAAAACTTGCACCGACCACAGTGTTGTCGTGAAATATCTTCAGTGGTAGACAGATCACGGGTCCCAGTTCCTTTGCCGTCAGGCTAACCGTGGGAGGTTTTCGAGGACTTCCTCTCCATGTAACGCAAATGCAGGTTAGCTCCATCAAAAAGTCCTCCACGAAGGCAAATTTCTCTCAATACTTGATACAGGAGTCCTATTGTCTTCTGGATTGGGTTCAAAATTACAAGGCTACGGAGTTGAACATAAGTAGTCGCAAACCCGAAAATTGGGTCAGCTGTTCAACGACGCGGTAATAAAACTAAAAAACTGATAACAAAATTTCAAAAAGAACATTCGAACACTTTTTAAAAAATTTATTTCTGTTGGAGAATCCCTGGGAGGGATATCTGTTCGAAAAATATTTATTTTGAAAAAGTAAAGCTGTTAGTTATCAAATATTCGTGTATAAATTTTACTACCAGTTTTTTAGTTTCTTGAGGAAGCTGGTCAACTTCCTGTTAAGGCATCTTGCTGTCCATGCTGAGTGGATGAGTCTTGTTTGATTAATACGAGTCGATTGGAATCCAATGTCGTTAAGGTCAGCAGCTGATTCCGCATGGGCAAAAGCAGCATTTGCCCAGGACACCCAAATTTCAATTACTGCTTAATATTAATTTTTGTCAAAAAATTGCAATTTAAGGTTTTTAATTCCCTATCGTTCTCGTTATTCCCTATCGTTAGGAAACTATCAAAACAAATTAAGAGTCTGATTTGTGCAGCACCGAAGGGAGTGATCCGTAAAGTACTAACCGTACTGTACACTCAGATATAGACGTGAACACAGATAACCGGGTCAGGGAGAACAGGAAAAACCAGGAATTGTCAGGAAATTTCATTTTAACTCCAAAAATCAGAGAATAGCCAGGGAAATTTCAATTTTTTACAAAAACCTGTAAAATTAATATATCATACCTGAAAAAAAAAACAGTCTTGAATTATCAGTAACAGTAGTCAGTTATTGAGATTCAAGTTAAATAATTTTAGCACCTATTACAATTATTTGTTGCAAAAATTTTACATTTTATTGAAACTGACATGTTCCCATCCTCATTTGCTGATTTTTTCTTTTTCTTTCACGAAATCTAATATTTGGTATTGCAAACAAAAAAAAAAATCAAAATTTTCTGATGAAAAACTATATGGTATAGAGAAAATAAGGTCTGAATTTTCATTGAAATTTACCTGATATACCTGGAAATGTAAGGGGATTTTTTTTCTTCCGAAATTGAATGGGAACCCTGATAAATTTTAACTAAAAATTCCCCTTAAAAATATGGTACCATTACTGCTAATGTGTCGAAAGTCTGTTATCAAAGGTTTCCAGCGATACATGATTACCATATTTATTACCATCATTTGAATCGCTTTAAAACCCTGACTCGAAAATTGTCTATATATGAGCAATACTATTAATATAAAAAAATTAGCAGTACAGTGCGCAAAATAAAAAAAAGTAAACACTTTGAATGACTTTTGATCTAATTCGTTCTAAAACGCAGATAATACAGTTTACAAATTATAGATACAGTTTAAAATTAGTAATTAGTGTGTAATTAATTAGTAATTAAAGAGTAAGGCACTTTAACTGTTTTTTTTTTCTTGGTTTCGAAACACCTTGTTAGGAAAAACACAGACAATAAAAAATAAATACTTGTAGCATTTAGGCTTGGGCCTCTCGGGACCTATGATAAGTCAGGCACTGGTAATCGCTCGAATGAAATTTAAAAAAATCATGGTTAGAACAATTTTATTTAATTGCAGAAAAACTGTAGCTTGGAGAAGCAAATCGATATCAGATTTGAAATCAGCAGTAAGATTTGCTAAAAAGTCCTACCCATTAGGAAAACAAATGGTATCTGTCACATTGTAAGTAAACAAACGTAGCGTTTATGCAACTATCAGCAGCGTTGATTATTTAGACAATTTTTTAAAAAAATTAATTCAAAATTATTCTGTGATAAGTAAGAGATTAAAATACTTAATTTCACTTTAAAAACAATGATAGATCAATTTTCTGAACTTTGTACTACTTTAGATAGGTTTCTTCAGAAAATTTTTAATTAAAAAAAATTTAATAATTTTAAATTGACCACATTTGACCAAAAATGACCACATTTTACTTCATTTTAAGAAACATCTTTTAGAAACATCCATAACAGCGCACATTACTATAACCATTTTCGAAAAATCACTTTTTTCTAAAAATAAAAAGTATTGTTTGAATTTTTGTATATAAAAGCAAATCAATAAGAGTTTTTTTTTTACTGAACTGAGTAAAGTAATAAATAACATAAGATGTTTTAGAAATATAACTAATTAGAAATAACAGGAACTACCATCTCTTATCACTGGTACAGTTTTCTAAATACGTATCACTCTACGTATCTGTTGACTTAAAATGTGATATCTACCTTCTGCTATTGTAAAACAGCGCCCTCTAGCTGATATTTTGAAAATTGTGTTTCTATTTTTTTCAAACTTAGAAGCCATTTTTGATTCGAAAATATGACGTAATTGAGTGATTATAGCTCATGTATACTCTACAAAATTAATAAAAGTTTCTTATTTGCATCATTTATTTAGATAAACCTGGAACGGAAAATTGTATCTGTTCTTATATAACATATTCTTTTTATGCATGAATAACCAAGAGGACGATATCGACGAAGGAAATAGAAGGAACAGGTATTTTGCTATAATAGTCATTAATGTTATAATACCATACCGTTTACCAGTTACTAAAGAACCTGATATTGAAAAATAAATCACGTGTACAAATAAAAGTAGTGTTTTTAAAATAATACTTGTTCAGAGTTAAATTCAATTAATTTTATTTGTAAAAAATTGATGACATATTATCCTATTTACTAGCTGAGATACGCTTGACATTAAAAATTGTAAATCTTAAACATTAGTTAAAACGTGAAGTTCAAATAGTATATTCGTTTTAAAAGCAAATTTAATCATTTTCGGTTCCAGTTGTAATTCTTATGAATTCGAAAATGCGTTTTGAATGTAAGTGAACATGGAGTTTTTTTTCTTCTTATGGATATGGTATTTTATTTAAAACTATTTGTTGATATTTATTTTATGCTGTGTACTAAAAATATTTCTTGACGTTATTTTATACTTCGTTTATGACAAATGCATTTATTTGTGTTGTACATCTTGTAAATTTAAGGAGGTATGTCGTGTGTTATCATTAAAAACATTGCTCTTAAAGCTACGCAAAAATTTAATTATTTGCATTAAATATTTTCCTTGTCAAAAACCAAGTTGAGATTCTTGAAAATTTAATTAGGATTTTAATTTGTAACAATTACCACTAAAAAATTTTCTTCTATTAATAATGAGCCTTTTTTTAAAAAAAGGATTCCAGAAAAAAATTTATAAATGTGAATTATAGTTGTTTTTGTTACTGTTTACTTAATAAATTGCTAGAAAGATTTTTTCCCTGTTGGCTATTTAATATTTGTTGCTTAAAATTTTTATAAATTCAAAGTGAATTAATGGAGTATACATTTTGCTACCATTGGAAACACATTTAATAAAACATCATAAATATAAAATACTACAAATTTGCATAATAATTACAGCATTTACAAATAAACAACAAATTTTAGCACTTTAGACAGAAAGAACCAAAAGTAGAAATTTTTGAATTTTAAGTGTTTCACTTGTATGCTAATAATTTATCAATATTTCCTTTTTTTTGTGAAGTAATATTTATTAAGAGTTTTAACCATTTATTTCCATGGTGATTAACTATTGTTTATTTTAATTTTAGTGCTGTAATAAAGTAAGTTTACCACCTGCCTACAATAACTGATTTCTGAAATGCTTTTTTGTTATTATGCACTTCAAATATTTATTTATTAATTCAAAATTTTCAATTCATTCAGTAAATTAGCCAAATATTAAAAATATTAGCCAAATTTCAATTATCTTAGTCTAAGGCAAATTATAACAATTTTACAATAAGTTTATTTTAATAAATCAATGTGTTTTTGTCATGAGACACATATTTTCTGGAAAAATATTCAGATGATTGTATGCTACCACTAATCTGCTTTATCAACACTAACTGTGGTAAAGAGTTTTGTGTTTGTCGCATGATCTAGCAATGAGGGTGCTAATATAATGGTTTTTATATGCTTGCATAATCTTGTTGCTTGCATTGTCTGCACCTAATATAATTCTAATTAGTTATGCGACATATCTAAGGGATATCACTGTAATCGAATAAAAAATACAAGGTTTGTTCAGAAAAATTTATACAGGTGTAATTTTCTGGATCAAAGGTAATATGTTGATATTTCTGTATCGTGATCTGTTGCGCCAACTACAATTGCCAAGGTGCCAAATAAGTTTTGAACTTGCAAATTTTTTAATAACAACAGTTTTCCCGAGGGTGGCTGCGAGTTATACATTTCGAGTTGGTTGCTGTGATGTTTTTTTTTTTTTTTTTAGTCTCTCACAGGCTGCTGTCCAGAAGTTGCCGAGACTTTGCCATTATTCTGCTACAGATCAGGATATGGAAGTCTCCCTGGGAATATATATTTTTCTTTTCAGTAGAAAAATTTGTACGACAGTACTTTCCCCAAAACTTTATTTGTTTAGACGAATTTACGATTTTCTCCCTTTTGGCTAAATGGTGAATGGTTGACAATTATTTTAACATTGGTGAATATGATAAATTAAAAATATTAATTAATGACAAGTACAAAGCATGAACCATTATTTTAAATCAAAAGAGCACAGTAAATTTTTTTATTGCTACACCATTTTAGTTTCCAGTTAGAAGGTTACAGTTTTATATCAAGCATTAACATTTCTTTCTATTGTAACTTTTATGTTCGTTTCACTAATAACATAGGGAGATTTCCGTATCCTGATCTGTGGCAGAATAATTGCCAAGTCTTGGCAACTTCCTGTCAGCGGCCCGCTAGAAACTAAAAAAAAAACATCACAAAAAGGGACCAGCTTGAAATGTATAACTCATAGCCACCCCAAGCAAATATCTACATGTTTTTTTTTTTTTTTAAATTTGCGAGTTTAAAATCTATTTGGCACCTTGGCAATTTCGCCACAATCTAAAAGAGCGTTATCGGAGCATATGAACTTTGTTTTCTGTTGGTTTCAATCATTAGAACGATACCATTCAATTAGATATCGATAAAAGTTTTAAGATTAATCTATAATAAGTTTGTCACTGATTTGCGTTTATACATTCATAAATGTCTTATTTCTTATAAAATTTCAGATCTGAATGTGATCCCGACTGGAATCCACAACCTGGGGATTGGAATTCAACACCTAGAATGGGAGATGGTGGTAAAGAGAAGTCACGTAAAAAGACGTCCAGTGTTTGGAAATATTGTGAAATTATTGATGAAGCATTTGCACGCTGCACTATCTGCGACCACAAATTATCTTACAAATCTTCTGTTACCAACCTGAGAAAACATTTCAAAAAGAAACATCCTGAAGTGGCTATGCCTGCAAATGTGGTAGATTGTTTTTTTTAAAATTATTTTCTTTATCAATAGTAGACTTAAATGCTCATTAATATTGAACTTTAAGTTGACATAAAATGGCCGAGTTAGCCTGGTTGACAGGGCGCTGGACTAACATTGATGAGAACAGTTGTTCCAATCCAGCCAGTCGAAGACTCCCCGTGTAGTAAATGGTGACTGGTGCATGTTAAATCTGTCAACAAAGTCGTCCGTGTTCCCATAACAAATCAATACCTCTAAGCAGTGTTTTCATTGCAGAGAAAAAAATGGGTAAGAATTTCTCACCCTTTCTCAAAAACAGGGTGAGATTTCTAAAAAGTAAAAAAAAAAAACACAAAGAGACTTGAAGAAAAAATCATTTCTTTAATTATAATACATTTTTAACATCTTCTAATTTTTAAAGCATTGAATATTTTTGCTGCATCATCATATGGAAAATGTTCTATATCTACTTTTTCATCAGCTATTCTCATTAGGTTGCTCAAATACATATTTGTTTCGTTTTGATTGTTTCTACCCACATTTCTTAAATTTTTATTTGTCCGTTTCGGAGTAGAAGATATTGCCTGTACAAGGTATTTGTCCATCTTGCATTAATGCTCAAAAAATTTGAAAGTCTTACATGAAGAAACCTTATGGTAAACACGTGGTTGCAGAGAAATGCGTTCTGAAAGAGGTTCAGAGGGATGGTGTTCTGATGTTCTTAAAATTTCTGAACAATACTGGTAAATAGGGATGGGGCAGATGTTGAAAATAATGAAAGATCCAGGAAGAAAAGTGAAGCGGATTTTATTCTAAATGGCGCAATGAGAAATTTTTTTCAAAATGCGAGAAATTCGCGAATTTTGAAATTGGTTTATAGAATGCACGAATTTCTCGCTGTAATCATTTTTTAATGCGAGAAAAGGAAAAATATGCGAGGTTCTCGCGCTGTAGTGAAAACACTGTCTAAGGGTACTGAATTGGTAATTGACCGTTCTGTGGTGCATGTCAAAATTACGATCTGTGAACGAATGTGTATATGAATGTATTTTCCATGAATGGATGTATATGAATGTATTTTTCAAAATGTATACTTGAGTAGTGTGACTAAATTTTTTTAATTTCTACTTCGTCATGGTTGTTAAAGTTTTTATAAAATTGTTTTGTTTCCCGTGTTTAATCAATAATTCAAGCAGAGTTTGGTAAAATGGAAAACTTTCTATTGATATTGATTAACTCTTGTAACTAACTAGTTCGAACTCTTTCGTCACCACCTCAATTTGGTAAAATCTGTTAGAAATTAAATGATTATTTAAAAAAAATTTCTTTGTACAGAGGTACATTGATTCATATCACATGGATGAGTTGGGTAAAAAACTGAAAATAGAAAAGTACAAATACACTTTTTAAATAATTGAAAAAATACCCGAAACTTGAGCTAGAAAAAAAGTGTATGTAGGAAGCATTTATCCGCAGAATGTTATCAACATTTTAATAAAAATATCAATGAGAGTACTTTATATATTTAAATTGTGTGAATCTGAATCTTGATGTGTGAATTTTAAATCACTTGAATAGGAATCTCAAAATTTAATTTTAAAATCGCGTGAATACGAATCTCTATGTCCGAAAATTGCATTAAAACAAATTTCTGTATTTGATTTTAAAGTCGTGTGAATATGAATTCCGATTTTTAATTAACTTGAATATGAATCTTAATAGTGGCTTTAAAATCACATGATTACAAAGTGCGCTATTTGATATAAAATCGGTAAAATACAAAACATAATGTGCGACTTTAATATGCGTAAAATAGAAATCTCGATGTGTGGTTTTAAATTATGTGAATATAATTTTAGATTGCATTTGCATTGATAGCAAAAAGGGAATTTTTATTTTTGTAGTAAACGGTAAGAACAATTTTTCTCTAACACCGTTAATGTATATTATACGAAAATGAATTCCAGCATGATAAATCTAAATCTATTAATTGGGCATTGTGCTTTTAAGTGTTTGGGAAACAGATTGTATTAGAAATTTCCTTTTACCATAAATAGTATTTTACCATAACTTTGGTATATCATGCTTCGGGTATCCCTTAACCAGTATACCCTTCCCTTGTGGCAGGATTATTTTTCTGGTTTATTGTAACAAACACCCATCTTTCCGCAAAAAATTTTTAATAGTAATAAATATATGTGGTACTAATTAATAGTGACCGAAAAGCTTTGTGTTTATAAAAAATGCATACACATGGAGAATAAAACTAGGTATAATTTTCTTTTTTAACCCCTTCCTTCTCGCTCCCATGAAAATGACGGGGTGAGTTTTCGCCCGCTATTTATCGCTCCCGTGATGACTATAGTAACACACCAATAAGAATAAAACTAATTCATTTCTTTTGCCTGGAAAACATTTTATTTCTCATTTTACACACCTGATGGCAGTAACAGGATATTTTTAAGTTAATGTAGATAGTTAGTTTATTTTAAACTAGTTGCAGCACTAATCAATACAAATACAAAAGCCAAAAAAATAGGCTCTTTTATGACCGTTTTCTTGAAAATTAACCGATCGTTAAGGGATTAATTGTAAATGTAATAATTTTTTTCATGAGAATATAAAAGAATCTATGTTCTAATATTATGGGAGGTAATATTTTATTTTGTTATTTTTGCATCACATAAGGTAAAAAATGTTTTTGAAAAAATGACTTCAAAATCACATGAATCAGGCTCTTTTAAAGGAGAATACTCGAATGTGTGTTACATTATCCTCTTGTTTACTAATATCGGATTTTTAAAACTATGTGAAAATCAATAAATTTCCCATATTGTATGAATATTGGGATGTTCAAAAACCATTGGAAAACCAATAGCAACAACTGTAAAAAAAAATCTAAACATAGATTACAATATTATCAGCGTAAATTGAAATGTTATCAGCATAAATTGAAATGTTATCAGCATAAATTGAGTATGTCATTATTTAAATGCGCAATTCANCTTTTATGACCGTTTTCTTGGAAATTAATCGATCGTTAAGGGATTAATTGTAAATGTAATAATTTTTTTTACGAGAATCTAAAAGAATCTATGTTCTAATATTATGGAAGGTAATATTTTATTTTGTTATTTTTGCATCACATAAGGGAAAAAATGTTTTTAAAAAAATGACGTCAAAATCACAGGAATCAGGCTCTTTGTAAAGAGAATACTCGAATGTGTGTTACATTATCCTCTTGTTTACTAATATCGGATTTTTAAAACTGTGTGAAAATCAATAAATTTCCCATATTGTATGAATATTGGGATGTTCAAAAACCATTGGAAAACCAATAGCAACAACTGTAAAAAAAAATCGAAACATAGATTACAATATCATCAGCGTAAATTGAAATATTATCAGCATGAATTGAGTATGTCATTATTTAAATGCGCAATTCAAATTTATATGTCATAAAATCGAATGAAAAATACCAGAATTTCATAACTATATAGAAATAATTAGCAGTAACTGCCGAAAGTCGAAAATATGGTGGTATCATCACATTATAAGTAAATAATGAAATATGGTATTTGAATTTCGACAGTCGTAATAAGATTGCTTAAGAGTGCGAAAATTTGTAGCATTAACTATTGAAACACGGCATGGATTCGTGATGATATGAGTGCGAATCGAGCATGTCAAGAAGTGATTGCTTTAATATTAGATTCAACTTCACATGTTGTAATATTGGTATTTAAAAATCATGAAAATAATATCCATTTAGTAATAGCTTAGAAATGAAAGCTATCGGGATCTTAAAAACAAAGTGGAAATTCGTAGAATTTCTTGTCCTTCTTGTTCGCACGATAGGCAAATTTTTTAAAACAATTCTGCTGGGGAAACATGTTTTGAAAAATTCTACACAGAGGGAAACCATAGTGTTCCAAATTAAAAATCTTTCTGCAAGAACCCCGTAATGTTCTGCAACAATGTTACCCTGATTTTGCTTCGATAAACAAAAAAATAATCTCTTCAATTAAAAAAAATTAAAAAATAAATATTTGTTAAAATCTTAACTAGTCAACAGGGCCTAATTGGGGCCCGGGGCAAAATCTTCTTTGGGGGGCCTCCTCTGCTTCACTACTTCAGTAATGAGGAACCAAACTCTATAAAGGTATTTAAATTTTTCACCTCTTTATAAATAGCTAGAAAATTGACTTGAACCTAAAATAGCTATTAAGTCCCGCTTCCAATGGCAGATGAAATGTTGTTCTGTCCATTTTATTGATTTTCTGACAATTCTATGTCCATCATACTGAATGCAGTTTTCTTATTGTTATCTTTGTCATCCAGCTGCAAAAAATTCATATCCTTGCCGTCATTAGGGCACCATTCAGCTAAAATGTTGCAATTACGATGGCTGAATTAAGCCAATCAAAATCAAGTATTTTTGTAAACCTATTGCATTTTGTGATACGTAAAAATACAGGCTTTTGATAGGCCAAATTTGTCCATGGTGATAGCGTATATTTAGCTGAATTCCTCCCTAGAAAGCCATGGATTTGTGTGTTCATATGATAGATTAATGAAGAAGCTGACATAAAACTGAAGGATTTTACACTGTTCTGATATTTTGTTTTAAAAAAAGTTCATTAAAGAAGGAAATGTAAAATAAATTTTCTATTCGATTTGGGGGCCTCTTCTGAGGTGGAGGCCCAAGGCAACTGCCCCTGCCTCAGTCAGGCTCTGCTAATCAATACTGATCAGGGTTGCCACAGCACAGGGAGAACAGGGAAAACCTGGAAAATACAGGGAATTTAAAAATCATTTAAAATAACAGGGAAAGTGCAGGGAATTTTAATTTTTTCTTTACAAACTGGGAAAATACAGGGAATTTTGTTTCTTATTTTTGTCTTTTAAAAAATGGTGACCACTCTATGCGGGATATTTAACCATGATTTTTCAGCCATACTAAATTATTTAATTTACTATAGTATTATTTAAGTGTGTTCAGCTGTTTTTACAGCAATTAAAGCTAGTAAATATAGTTAGCCCAATATAACTCACACAAGAGCACAGTAATTGTTGTTTCCTCTTAATATATTGTGTATAATATGTACAGGGAAAACACAGGGAATTTTTTTTTCAGATTTGAGTGGCAACCCTGCTGATATTTACCTTCATTTAATTAAAATATATATTATATACATTACATTACATTATATGCATTTTTATTTCAGCATCATGCACGTAATGGTGTCATAACCTTAAATAGTGATGAGGAAGAGGAAAGAGAGGATGCGCAAAGAGCCACGAATTCCGTGATTGTTGACTATTTGCGACCTGCTGGCGAAGAGAACAGGCCAAAGACAAAACCCACCCTGACATTTGTGAGACAGACACCAGTCATTAAAAGAGATCGTTCACCCATTAGATATCATGACTATTCTACATTAGAAACAAAATGTAAAAAATCAGAGGTTACTGATGAAACAGAATTCGATGTATTCGGGCGAAATGTTGTGCTACAGTTAAAGCAATTGCCGTTAGTCCATGCTTTGGAACTTCAAGCAGAGATTATGAATTTGATTGTGCAAAAGAGAATCCAGGTAAATTTAACTCATAATTTTTTATCTTATCATGTAACGCTGGAAATTACTCTAAATGATTGTTTTAATGATAGTTTACCATGCAATATGCTTATATTACAATACAATGCTTTTATAAAATGGGAAACAACACAGAAAAAGCAGAGGTTGCTGAAGAAATGTAATTGGGTGAAGTGTTGTGCTTCAGTTAAAACACTTACGTTAGTCCATGCTTTGGAACTTACGAGATAGGGAATTTGCTAATGCAAAAGAGAATCCATGTAAATTTAACTCATAATTTTTTAGCGTATCACGTAACACTGAAAACTTCTCTAAATGATTATTTTAATGCTAGTTTACTGTAATTTAGAGTAATTTCCTGTGCAATATCTGCAATATTTTAGTTATGCTTTTATAAAATGGGAAGCAGTGCAGTAAATCAGGGGTTACTGAAAAAATAGAATTCAATATATTTGGGCGAAATGTTGCGCTTCAGTTAAAGCAATTGCTTTAGTTCATCCTTTGGAACTTCAGAGATAGTGAATTTGCTAATACAAAAGAGAATCCAGGTACATTTAACTCATAATTTTTTACCTTACCTTGTAGCACTGGAAATTACTCTAAATGATTGTTTTAATGATAGTATACAATGAAATATTTTAATTATGCTGTTATAAAATGGGAAATGACGCAGAAAAGCAGAGGTTACTGAAGAATAATTCGATGTATTTGAGTGAAATGTTGTGCTTCAGTTAAAACAATTGTGTTAGTCCATGCTTGAAACTTTAGAGATTATGATTTTGATTGCACAAAAGAGAATCCAGGTAAATTGAACTCATAACTTTTACCTTATTAAGTAACATCAGGAATTATTGAAATGATTGTTTTCATAATAGTTTTCTACCCAATGTTTTTTTAAATTATTTTTATGTATAAAAGTCTGTCTAGATTTATGTTTGCTAATAACTATAGAACAGAAGCACCGATTTGGATTGTGTTTATTTTTTTTTTTCACCAGGTGGTTTGTGAACAATCATCTCTTGGCGTTATGTGGTTCCAGCACAGTATCCAATATTTAAAATTTCATTGATGAATACCCTTGTTATAGATTAAAAGGTGTATCGTCTTGGAAACTGTACGTTTGCAAAATGTTTAAAAAAATAAGAGCCGACAAAACGACTAGAAAAAAAATAATTGTTTTTAAGCGTAAACAATGTGCTTCGCAGGAAAATTTTTTTACAAATTTGTCAAAGTAGTTAATTACTTAAATGGTTAAGGGAGATCATTACATAACACCCTGTATGTCTTATGGGTAATTTAATTTTTACTACATAAAATATTTTAAATAACCTACAACCATTTATAGAGAGTTAAAAATAGAATAGTTATTAGACTGTTTATAATGTCTCTACTTGATATTTACATGAAAAAATAGAGTTACGTCTTCTCTTTAACATCTAATTATATTTTTTGTTTTTCATAGACACCTATGTCCACAGCTTTCAGTAGTAGAAACTTATTTTTGGACCCCCCACCCTTATATGCGCATAATTTTCAAATGTATATTTCAGTTTTAATATAATATATTCCAGAGTTCACCCTAGAAACAAATAAGGATAGGTGCTTTCTCACGGTGAAGAGGAATTACAGTTTCGATTACCTAGATAACCTAATTTATCTGAAAATATTTATTGTTTTTTACACTGACCACCATTAAAATTTCTCAAAATATGTAACTGAATTTTACCCTCAATTTTTTTTAACAACCCTCTTATGCTATTTTATGTCTATACTTCACAAAGTAATTCTCACTCATCATCAATATAACAGAAAAAATTGAAGTTCTTGAAAAAAAACAATTAAAAAGCAAGCTAAAAGACAATTGGTGTGTAAATTTTCCTGAAAAAAAAGTAAACTAAATAAGTAATAATGTAAACTCTTTGTATACCGACCGGCCTGTGTAGGGATCAGAGAACTGCCCTAGTTCAACTCCGTAACCTTGTAATTTAGAATGCAATCCAGAAGACAAGGGAACTCCTAAATCAGGTATTGGGAGAAATTTGCCTTCGTGGCGGACTTTTGGGTGTAACTTACCCATATTTCCGTTACATGGAGAAGAAAATGACAAAAACCTCCCATGATTAGCCTGATGGCAAAGGGACTCTAACCCATGATCCGTCTACCACTGAGGATATTTTACTTCGGCATTATGGTCAGTGCAAGCAGAGTGCAAAATTCGTATCGACCAGCCATCGCTTCGATTCGAACCCAGTTCATCTCATTGGAAGGCGAATGCTCTATCCTCTGAGCCACCACGGCTCAAAATAAAAGTTCTATGCTGACGAGGGTGGGATTCGAACCACCACGGGCAGAACCCAATGGATTAGCAGTATATCGCCTTAACCACTGAACCATTGAGCTCTGCCTACGTGGGTATATATATTGTTCTGCTTTAATAACTTGCCATATTTATTAATTTTATTTTCAGGCATTGAGGCAAACGCATGAGACAAACACAGATGAGACGCCCATGCAGTATGCTTTAGTATATACTACTGAAACTCCAGTAGCTTCTGAGCCAATAAGAAGCTGTAATACCCCCGAAGCTGTCAAGGAAGCAGAAGCAAATCAAAGTTATGTAAAATTATAATATGTCTTCAAAATGAATACATGTTTTTATAAGGTGTCGATGGCTGCCCATTTCTGGAATTATTTTCAAAACTGAAATCAAAAGGAGCTATTAGGTTAGGTAGGCAAATTTATATACAATTTAGGAAGTAACAAAAAATTTTTTTGTGGTATGTCGAATATCTGGAAAGAAAGCTTGAAGGAAGAATGTCGTACCCAGTTTGATGAAAGATATTTTTTAGTCAACGCCTTTGAAATACTTTGTTTTTTCTCTCTGTTGAGCAGGTTGTGATGTTTTTCATCCTGTTTTCCTTAAAAGTAATTCGTTAAGTTTCTACTACCTTTTTTCTTTTAAATATTATGTAACCCCTAATGTACTTAATTTTTTTACTTTTTCTTTGTTACCACTCCACAGGGAAAAACTGGAAAATACAGGGAATTTTAAAATCACCTAAAATAACAGGGAAAGGGCGATGAACTTTGATTTTTTTCTTAACAAATCGGGAAAATACAGGGAATTTTGTTTCTTATTTTCGTCTTAAAAATTATAACCACTCAATGCGTAATCTGTGGGATATTTAAGGATGATATTCCAACTATACTAAACTATTTCATTTACTATAGCATTATTTAAGCATGTTCATCTGTTCCTTCTTTTCTTTAAGTTATTTGAGCAATTAAAACTAGTATAGTTATTCCAATGTAGCTCACACACGACTGCAGTAATTGTGTTTCCTCTTTATATTGTGTATAATATGTACAGGGAATTTTTTTTCTCCATATTTGAGTGGCAACCCTGGTCATTTTTGATAAATATAATAAAAATGTATTTTCGTGGCCATCATTACAATAACTCTGTATATTCCATAACTATTGACCATGTTTATTTATTTATTTTTTTTTTTTTTGAAAATTTGACTAACTTGAATTCTGATTAGTTTTGGAGCAAGGAGCAACTTGTTACTAAAAGCTAAAAATAATACAAGATAATATGATTTAAAAATTTCCAATTTTATTTTCTTGTGATGTCAGTTGTTTTTTTGTCTTGTAAATGTCAGTTTACTCATTATTCAAAAGAATAAACAGTTCAAACTATTGTGTAGATTTTATTCATTTTACATGCATTAAAGATGTATTCCTGATTTGATACTTTGCTCTTCTAGTTTCATTCTTTGTATATTTTTGAAATGTTGTGTTGATTGTCAATTCAAGGTTAATGTTCTTTTAAAGACATACTTTGGAATTTGTTAAAAATGTACACATCATATTAAGATTGCATTGTATTATGTCATATTCAGAAACTTTATTAAAATTATTTTGTCAAAGTATTTAGTTTCATTCTTTTAACTTTAGTTTTATTAAACTCTTTTTCGATTCATATGAAACAACAATATAATTGGGAATCAGGCTTAAAAATTTTGATGCTGGATTAATATTTCATATAACTGATATGCTAGTTTAAATAAATTCATTTTTATAATTTGTTTCTGTAATCCTATTTATTTTCATTCGGTTTTGAAAACTCAGCAATGAATTCTTTAAGACAAATTTTTCAAATTCAGGTTTTTTCAAACGTTTAACAGAAATAAAAAAAAATACACCAATTGTAAAATCTTTACTTTATTGTACTGTAGCAAAAATATATGTATACTAGGGGGCTAAGCCCCCTGTTCGCTGCCGCTCACCAACCCCGATTATTGCTTCGCAATAATTCTCTTTTCTTGGCAGAAAACAATTTTTCTACTAAAGTTAAAACTATTCACTTAACATATATGTACTAAAAGGAATTCTGTTTTCTTACTCTTGTGCCTCTACTTCCCACGTCTAAATATTACTCTCAAATATTGAAAGTGATTTTTCGAAGTAATCATTTCTTAAAGTAACATTTATATTCCTATAGAATTGTATTGTTCAAACAAATTTGATGAGTTCACAACCATAATTTAATACTCTCGCTAATAGTAGCAGTACTGGAAAATAAGTTTAAATTAGGGATACAAAAATATTTAAAGAAAAACAATTCCTTTACNACATAGTTTTTTTATTTCTTTTAATTAGTTTATAAACTGAGAACTTTGATTTTTTTTTTTTTTTTAAAGTTTTAACAAGTTGTATCTTTAAGCATAAAATTAACTATTTAGCATAAACATGATTAATGTAGTGTAACAAAGTGTGAGTGATGCTTGATACCACCTGGAAGAAAACTAATGCACCATAATTGTTATTTTTTTATTAGATAATTTCAAAATTTAATGAAGTATATTAACTCTATAATGTTATGAAGTTGTTCTGATTATTTTTTCTAGTTTTCAGATTTACAAATTAACTATGTGGATGAAAAGAAAAAATCACCAAAACCTGATGAAAATAATCTACTTTTTGGAAAAGTATTTAGTGATCACATGTTAGAAATTGAATGGTCAGAAGAAAATGGCTGGGGTAAACCAATAATAGGACCAATTCATAACTTAAACCTTCATCCTGCTTGTAAAGTTTTTCACTATGCTCAAGAGGTAATTGCATGTCTGTCCTTCATTTAGGTTTCATTCTCTTGTAAACTTGCTCCTGTGTGTTTACAGACAGTGTGTCCCCTGATGAAGTGCTGCTCTGTAGACACACAACTTTATTTAATTTTCTTTTAATTATTTTTATATAATTTTTTGAGTAAATTTATATTATTACTTGTTTAATTATTTTTGTTATCAGTGTTCCCCAAAATTATGACTTTTGTGTTCCCGTTCTAAATTTTTCGTAACCCTGTGTACCAGTATTTTTTACTATAAAAAAATTTCACATAAGTTAAATAACACAACTGGCTATTGAAACCACTAATTATTAACTTTTAACTCTGCAAAAAATAACCAATAGAAAAATACGTAATCGTAAATTTTCATGGCTAGCTTTGTTTTTAAATAAAATTTTTTGAAATTTTCGTTAGTTGCAAGATATTTCGCGTAAGAACGCGTACCCCCACTAAACTGTTCTCGTACCCCTGGGAGTACGCGTAACACACTTTGGGAAACACTGCTCTACATATAAAACTCTTATAGAAGCCCGTTTTCGGTCAAGCGGGTTATGGATGTTGGGAATCAACTGAAGCGTTGAATGCATTGTGCACAGACCGCCTTTACCTCCCAACGTAAACGTCAAGCCACTGCGAATACACGCTTTTCATATGAACTAAAATATATATTGAAGTGCTCGTCCAAAAGAAGAAAAAAACTTATTGTATAATTGCAGAATATAAAAAATTATGCAAATATGGTTAACATTCAAACTGCAAGACTATTTTTTTTCTTAACTGTTATTTATGAAAAAAGTATGTTATTTAACGATTTTTTATTGATAACATGCGCATATGAAATGCAACTAATAACTTTTAAGAATTGTTTTTTTTTATTGGCTAAAGTGCTGTATTGTAAAATATTATTTTTCCTTATTCCTTTTAGACATTTATTATTTAATGATTTTTTATTAATTTCGTCGATAACGATATGCACATATTTCGTTGAATTCAATATGTCATGGCAAGAAGGTTTAAATATTGTCTATTTCGATCTTTGAAGAATGGGAAACAAGAATAAGTACCTGGCTAGGAAATGCAACTAGTAATCTCTAAAAAGATTTTTTTATTTATGCAAAAGAGCTCCACCGTTATGTAGTTTATTATTATTTTATTCTGAGAATTGTATTCTTGCGTGCTGAAGTAAGGGGTAATTCATATACATCAAAATTATGTCAGGTACCTTAGTGCTAATCCATCATACCAACAGGGTTCATGACACAAACTGCTTGTCTAAAATCCCCGTTTTTTTCAGAACATTTCGTTTTAGGTAAAATAATTGGACACTTCATTAAACTTTGAAAGTTCTTTTATTTTTAATGATGTGAATGCTTCTAATTTTCTATTCATAGAAGAAATGAGAGAATGATGCAAAAGTTTCTAAAATAGAATTTTCTTTATTGAGTTCATTAAAAGAAAAAAAATTAAAGGCATATGAAAATTATAGTTTGATTCTATTGATATTACTCTGTGTGGAAAATGTAAATTTTCTGTAAAAATAGCTCAGAAACTATTTAAAGGTGTTTGCGTATTTTATTTGTTACTACAGGTATACTACGTTATATTTTAACTGACAATTGAAATATATTATATATTAATTGTTTGTTTTATATATATAGTAAAAGAATTGCTTATCTATCTAAATTCAAAACACAATTCTGCAATTGCTAAGAATTATTTTTCATTTACACTAAGTTCAATTCTAAGTTAAGTTCCATAAGTTTTATGCTTGAGTTCCTGTTGTTGCTCTTTATGTTCAGTTCGCTATATTTATAATATTAATTATATAATATTTCATTTAACATAATTCCTTCAATTTGTTTTTATTATAGTTTAATTCATAATTCTGAAAACGTTTCTGAAGTTTCGTTCCTGCACTAAGTTCAATTTTTTTTTTTTTTTTTTATCTACACTATGGTGGAATATTTGTAAAAAGGTAAGATTTTTCATTATTTAAATGTTTGGTTTAATAGGTTTAATTAATTGGGTATAATATAAAAAAAACACAACTACTCCCACTTTTCCATTTTTGTAGGAATAACATATAATATCGTGCAGTGCTAAATGAATGGAAGATAGTGGTTGTTGTTTAATATTTTACATGCGCTAATTTAATTTGATTTAAAAACATTGATTTTTTTAAAAATATGGATTCTATAGAATGATGTCCGAATTGGTTTGATGTCTCACGTTGTCAGAAGAGAAAAAAAACTTTCAATTTAATTAATAAACTGAGTTTTAAATATGTTTACTAAAAACATTGAGTTACTTAGATGAAAATTACAAAGCGAACTTTTCTATTTAATACAATATAATCTGGCGAGCAGCTATTTAAGAAATCGAACATTCCGTTTGTTTATTTGTGGCTTGATGTCAGGCTCGCAGAAAATGCCGTTCACTGGTTAAATTTAGTAGGAATAACACAACCTGTGACATAGGCGATAGTATACCCAATTGCTTGTGTAAGTTACGGGTGCTGCCCACGTGTAAAATTATTTTTCCAAATAAATAAAAATACGTATATGCTTATTTTTTTAAAAAAATTTTAATGAATATTTTGTTTTGCACTCCCTCCCCTGAGAAACTGTGGGCACATTAGATGCTACTTTTGATATAAAGGGCAAAATAAAATGTCTCAACACTGTCCCACTCATCCTTCACCTTAGAAAAACTTACAATATGAAATTAAAAAGAGTTATTCTATGCCCTTCTTTTTTAGTTTGAAATGTATGTTGCAGATAGCAGTGCAAAATTTTTATGTACTACTTTTTTTCTTTTTTTTTTTTAATATAAATTTTTTGTTTCATATGTAAAATTCGATTTCTCAAATTCAGTGGCGTACAGTGTTGAGAACGAAAGGGAACATGAATCCAGCTAAAGGAGAAATTCATTTGACTGGTTTATAAATCAACTAGCTGAATCGTGCAGGGTGGGTAAAAGTAAGCAATCAGTATTGAGTAACACTACAACATCCTGCACAATACTGAAAGGCTTAAACCAATAATGTTAATAAAGCTAAAATAATTTTACTCTTTAAATTTATTATTTAATTCGGTGGCTTTACGTTATTAGACTCAGCAAAACAAGTATTAAGTTGTTTATCCTTTCTAAATGAAGATTAACTTAGTATTTTTACCCCTTACCATCAGGCTAACCGTGGAAGGTTTTCGCGGTTTTTTTCTCCGTGTTAATTCTATGACATAATCCTCCACGAAGGCACATCTCTCCCAATACTAGATCCAAAAGTTCCTTGTCTTCTGGATTGGGTTCAGAATTACAAGGCTATGGAGTTGAATATTGGTAGTCGTAAACTCAAAATTGCGTCGGCTGTTCAACGACTGTTATATTAACAAGATTTGTATTACTGTTACCAAAATTAATTAAGCTTAATTGGCGTCTATAATGGTTTAATTATTTTACGTTTCTCTTAAACGAATTAGTAACATTAATATTTCATTTTAGTACAGAGCTTATTTATTATTTCTATTTGTTTATATTACCAAAGTATTTCTCCTCCATTAATTTTGCTTTCTAGAACATAGAATTTTTTTTTTTTTTAATTACCACTTAATAACAAATTTAATCAAGCGTCATTGGTGGGTATCAATAAGAGTTTGGCGATATTTTGCGCTTCTGCTCAACGAATTAGAACTATTTTTTCATTGATTTTATTGTTCTATACGTAATTTTTTTTCAAAATTTCATTTGCTGTTGATTTTAAATTATTTAGTATTTGATTCGCTTATTAAAAGCATAACTATAAAC